TAACATTCACAAGGCCCCAGGTTCAATCTGCAGAACTTCCCCTCAAAACTTTTTAAAAAATCTTAACACCAGGCCCAGGTTTTAGCTCAGTGGTGCTGCTGCCTGCCTCACAAGCACAAGGTCCTGAGTTCGATCCCCAGTACTACAAAAACCCAAACAAACAAACCAACAAACAAAAAAACTTAACACCAATAATAACAATTATCCAATCAAAATGAGCTGAAGAACTGAAAAGATAATTTCCAAAAGACATGTAAATGACCGACAATGTATGCAGATGATAAGTATTGCTCAACATCAAGGAAATGCAAATCAAAACCACAATGAGCTATCATCTTGCTCCAGTTATAACAGCAAAAAAGATAAAACATAACAAATGCTGGGGAGAGGCAGAGAAAGAGAAACACTTATACACTGTTGGTGGGAATGAAAATTAGTACAGGCATTCTGGAAAAATTATGAGATTCCTTTAAAAATAAAGATAGAACTAGCAATTCCACCACCGGTTATGTAGCTGAAGGAAATAAAATCATTATTTTAAAGAGACACCTGCACTTCTGTGTTTATTGCAATATTTATTCTCAATAGCCAAGATGTGGAATAAACCAAGGTACCTATCACAGAATAGATGGATAAAGAAAATGTGTCATATATACACAATGGAATATTATCCTGCCATAAAAAATGAAATCTTGCCCTTCATAGCAACACAGATGGAAATGGAAGTCAGTAGGTTAAGTGAAAAGCCAGACATAAAAAGACAAATACTATGTTTTCACTCATCTGTGAAAACAAAGAAAAAAAAAGTTAATTTTACAGGAAAATGAAGTAGAATGATAGTCACTAGAAAGTGGGGGGGAGAGGGATGAGAGAGGATGCAAAGAAATTCAACAAGGAGAGCATAAGTACAGATAAGAGGAAGTCATTTGGGGTTTTTGTTTTGTTTTGTTTTGTTTCGTTTTTTTGAGACAGGGTCTCACTATGCAGTTGAGCCTGCCCTGGAACTCACTATGTAGCCCAGGCAGGTCTTGAACTCACAGCGAGCCTCCTGCCTCAGCCTCCCAAGTGCTGGGATTACAAGCATGCACCACCATGCCCGGCCATTCTGGTTTTCTATACCACGTGAGGTAACTCTTCATCATACTATGATATATTTGAAAGTAACGAGGAGAGTATAAATGTTTCCAGCATGTAGAAACAATTAATGTTGGACAAGATGGATATCATCCTGAATTCATCATTACACACTAGACATATGTGTCAAATCATCAAACTGAACCCTGTAAAGATGCACAAATATTATGTCTCAAGGACAAAAAAAAGAGGTTAGGTAACGTCAGTAAAAGTGTCACAGTACAATTATCACAGGACAGACCAGGGTGCATTCTCTTCTTGTCAGTCTCTGGAGCTTGGGCTCCTGAGTGTCCCTTGGCCCCTGAAGTGTCTTCCTGTCTTTCTTGGGTTTTTCTGTCTCTGATACTAACAATCTCCCAGGTGATCTGATTCAACCTTCCCCCACAGAGATGTTTGAATAATATATCTCTTCACTTAGGATATGAGCTTTGTGTAGATGGCGACCATCTTTGAAAAGCTAGTGCCCTGTGTGTCCATTTGTTTTTTACCAGTCCCCTGTCCTGTATCCTGGCATGTAATTTTGATTTCTTGCCCTGAATGAGACACTGGAATGGACAAAGTTTGTAGACAAAGGAATAGAACAACATTTTTGTCATTAAAAAAAAATAGCTGGTTTCTTCTAATGTGCTTTCTAAATTAAGGAAAATTAAAGGACTTTCTTTTTCCAGAGCCTAGTCTAGTGCACAATAATATCTCCTTGTTTAACATTTTACTTTCTAAAGCTTCAAGTGTCCATAATCAATCACAACCTGAAGATATTAAGTGAAAAAATCAGGAATTAAACAATTCCTAAGTTTACAAATTTTTTATTATGGCCTATTGTTATAGCCATAGTATTTCCTATTATTGTTACTCTTACAGTGCCTAATATATAAATTAAACTTTATTGCACACACACACACACACGCACACACACATATATGTACAGGGAAAACATAGTACTGTATATACAGTGTTCAGAACTACAGTATCTTCAGTTTCAGACTCCTATTCTGTGCTTGCCGTATGCCCACAATGGATGGAGGATCCATTGTTAGGATCAGGAGTGGAATGTAGGAAGGGGAGCAAACTAATTAATGGATTCTCTGATTTCACACGCTGAGTTAGAGCATAGACCAAGCCTGTGCCAGAGGTGTTCCAGCAGACTGGAGAAGAAGGGGGAAGGATGCAAGCTTATCCTTTAATACAAGGGCCCTTCAGATTAAAAAGAAAAAGGAAATGAAAGAAAATTCTTATAGAGTGAGTAGTCAGAGGTTGTTAATTACTCATCATGTGAGGATTAAATTTGCTTAAGGAGGAAGGCTGTAGTAGTAATCTGAGGTCAAGGGGCCCATTCCCAGTCTGTCTGCTCCTCTGTCAAATAGAGATAAAAGCCCCACCCAGGACCCCTCTAGATAGGAAACTTTCCTGACAAGACTTCCTGGCCTACAGACAGGCTACAGCCCAAACAGGTCTATAATTCAGAATTAAGAAATATGAAACAAATCTTCTAAAAGCCAAAGTGTTCTGAACTGTGATTCGGGGTTTTCCCAGCCTTCTGCACCTGTAGAAATCCGGAATCTAGCTCAGCAAGAGTTGCAGTAGTGCTTCCTGTCAAGACCAAGTTATGGCCCTGGGAACAGGGTGCCTCCTGGCCAAGGTCAGGTCCCCAGCCTGCCTGTTCTCCCTGCCTCTGGGTGGCTATGTGTCTGGCACCTTCAGGCCCAAGGCAAAAGGGGACCTACCCACTTCAGGCACTGGAGTGGTGGCTTCCTCAGGACTTAAGAGACCATTGAGGGTGAACAGTCACTCACCTTGAACTCATACATTTTTTGTTAATTTTTTACACCAGATGAGGGGATAAAAGATGCAAGAGTCACAACTCTATCGGATTGTTGGCAAAAAACTTCAAAATGTTAGTAGAATGTCTGTCCACAAATAATGAGGCACTCAGACTTAACTTACCCTTCCAAGGATTATAACCACAGGCAAGGCAGGCCCATGAGAATAGCCTCCAGAGAAAGTTCAGTTTGGGCTTAGTTTTAACTAGCTGGTCAATACAGTGACGAGAGATGGATTCCTCAAAGAAATTTCAAACAACTCACACATAGGACATCTTTTTCCAAGAAAAGTGACTTTTCTGCCACTAAATCCTAGCTAAGCAGGGCTTTTTAAATTGTTTGATAATAGCCAGCATGTCTTGACAGTGGGGCTAGTGGATGGGGTGAAAAAAGAAAGAATTTCAGTTACCCAGTAGTGACCCAGAGTTAGAGACCCCACCTCACTCAGACCTTGTATCTAGAAAAGCCAACTTCTACTTTAGGAGCCATTGGAAGGAGTTGGGGGCTCGCGCTTAGACTCTATGAAGATAAAGTATCGTGACCTTACCCCCAAGTTAGCGTTCAAATTAGCCCGGACCCAGTAATTTGACCAATAATTCTCTCAGATTGGGGGGAGAGGGAGTTGAGGAATTTGAAGCAATCGGGACAGAGTGGTACCTGATAAATCTGTTAGGACAGCCCAGTGCTGTGAAGTAAAGTGGAGGAGGAGGCAGGAAAGGAAGAAGAAGAAAGAAAGACGTCTGGAAGTGGGAGAGAGGAAGGGAGGGAGTAGAGATTTCCTTCACCCAACCCAAGGGCTTCTGTTGTTGCTTTGTTTATGCTAAGTTAGCCAGCCTGCGACCGAAGGAGTTGAGAGATCTGCACTGAAGAAGGCAAATTAATTTTTAAAATTTAAACAAGACACACTTGCGCACACTCGCGC